AGCCCAGGCGGGGAGCAAGTGGCTGGAGTGGGGTGAAGCAGCCGTGCTCACACGTCTCTGCCTACGGGCGGCCTGCCTCCCCGTGACCCCTGACATGCTGCGCCCGACAGAGCCACTGCTGCGTCCCAGGCCAGGCCCAGCTGCTGTCGGGTTCGTAAGACGAGGGACTGGGCCCTTCTCTGCTTCTTTTTGGTGTAGAAAGAAACCTTAAAGGGTTTCCTGATTGTTTTATTCCTTAGCAGCATCACTGTCCAGTCCAGCGCTCCCTGCTTCTGTGGGCGCGTCTGTCCTCTGGCCTTAACAGCGGGCACCCTGCCTGTCTCCCAGGCTAGCCTTCCACGTTACAGAGATACCAGCAAAACCTGTTCCAGGGGCACCCGAGGGGCCGAGTCTGAACTCGGATACACAACTCCAGCTGCATGAATTGTCGTATGCAGTCGCACTCTGGCGCCGTTCCCACAGCAGGAGGGCGACAGGAGAGACGCTCCCGTCAGCTTCCCTCACTCCTCGTGAGCAGGCGATCGGCGCCAACGGGCGCCCTCAGCGATCCATTTAGCAGGGCCTTACTAGACCCGCTAAATCAAACGCCAGCTCAACCTCCGGCGCGTCGATCCGGAGCCTAACGCAATCCCTCCCCCCTCGATGGCTCCACCTTCACTCTCTGGGCAATGGGGAGGTCGAGCCCCCCAGCCTGGCACTGGACTGGAACACGCAGCCGTTAGGCCTGGACACCGAGAAAGCAGCAGAGGTGCAAGCCCATTTTCGTTGGCCTTTGCAGGTCTCCCTGGAAGTGCACAGAGCACTAGAGCGGCCCCTACCCGCGCACTGCTTAGCCGGAGGCAGGGGGCCCCAGATAACCACAGAGCCCCTTGCCTCAGGCCCCCCCCCAGCCTGGCACTGGACTGGAACACGCAGCCGTTAGGCCTGGACACCGAGAAAGCAGCAGAGGTGCAAGCCCATTTTCGTTGGCCTTTGCAGGTCTCCCTGGAAGTGCACAGAGCACTAGAGCGGCCCCTACCCGCGCACTGCTTAGCCGGAGGCAGGGGGCCCCAGATAACCACAGAGCCCCTTGCCTCAGGCCCCCAGGGCTCACTGAAAGGCTTGGCAGTGTCTGTGGGAACCCCACGGGCTATTCTATGCATTTCAGGGCCTTCCCCAGCGGTGCTCCCTGCCCCCCAGCCTCCTGTCTCCCGAGACCCTTCAGACACCGTAACCCAGCCAGGAACCGCCGAGGGGCCCCTGTGACCATTACCTGAGGCATCGGTGGAGCTGGTGGCCGAACTCCGGCCCTGGGCGTGGCCTCCCACAAGCTGCCGGTACGAGCCGAGCGCCTGGGTGAGTTTGTCATTGGCCTGGAGAATCTCTGCTGCAGAAAGAGGAGAAACAAGCTCGTCTTACGCTAACAGGAGGGCTAGTGGGCGGCCACGTTCCACGCGGCTCACCACAGAGCCAGGCCACGTTCCACGCGGCTCACCAGAGCCAGGTCTGCGTCCCAGGCGAGCAAAGCCCCCCTGGCTCTTGGTGCAGGGGCTGAGGACAGGTCCCTTTCACACCAGCTTCTAGCTGGGAGGCTCTGATGTCACGCACATGCCCGGAAACCCCCCGATTCAAGCTCTCCTGTGACACTGGACGGGGCTGCCAGCCTGGGACAGAGCTCAGCCGCACGTGGCAGTTTTCACCTTTGCACGTTCCGAGGGAGATCTGCAGGAAGTGCCCACGCCCACAAAGGCCTGGGTGGCAGTCTGCGTGCGGTCTCCCTGGAGAGGTAGCTCCACGTTCTCCCCCGTACCAGGGCAAGTGCCACAGCAGCAACCCCCAAAATCCCATCCCATTGACGCTAGAGTCATGAACCCCTCGGCCCCAGCTGTCGCTCAGAGGTGAATACGCTCAGGGCATGATACACTCGGCAAGGAGGCACCCGGGGCCTCCACTCCTACAGCTCTGCCCGGCTGGCCCCGCACGGAGCCTCCTTCCCCTGGTGCACGACAGGGAAGGGAAGAGCTTGGACCCACAGTCCTTCTTCTGGGCTCCCCGGCCAGCCTGCACCTCGGGCCCGTCTGCTCTGCGCTTAGGAGCCGGGCTGCCTGACGCGGCTCCCATGGAAGAAGGCAGGAGGGGCTCTGGCGTTAAGTCCCCGCGGGGGGGAAGGCTGGCCCCGCACGGAGCCTCCTTCCCCTGGTGCACGACAGGGAAGGGAAGAGCTTGGACCCACAGTCCTTCTTCTGGGCTCCCCGGCCAGCCTGCACCTCGGGCCCGTCTGCTCTGCGCTTAGGAGCCGGGCTGCCTGACGCGGCTCCCATGGAAGAAGGCAGGAGGGGCTCTGGCGTTAAGTCCCCGCGGGGGGGAAGCCGCCCTCCTGGCTCCCCCAGCAGGACAAGGAGACCGAAAGCAAAAGGCCAGGCTCCAGGCAGCAGTGGCACGGCCCACGCCAAGAACCCGCAGGGCTGGGGCTGGG